ACTCAGACAGCTTAAAATATAGGAAACAGGAGGACCTACATAAGGGAAAGGTAAATGTAGTCAGCAGGATGACAGCAAAATGAAATCCCAAGGCAGCTTTGTATGGTCTTAGAGAACAACCAGTTCAGATTAGCAAAGGAAGATAAAGAGCAACTGAAGACAGTGTTCAGACGAGACAAAAAATTACTTTAATCAGATGAAAGTATGTGTGTGAATAAACTGAGAAATTTCAAGTTTAACTGAAGAATTTGAAAAGAATTAACACTAGGCCTAAAGAAACCTAAGGAAAAGGAAAAAATGGCAATAATTGCTAAAAAAACAAAATAATACAAGAAAATGTTATGGTAATACCACTTGGCTCAACGATATAGAAAATCTATATCGTAACATTAAAAATGGGTATTTTTGTGACAACTATACTGATAAAATGAGAAAAGAATAACAACTGAAAGATTTGGGTAACATGTAAAAATAGTAATTAGCTGGCACTGTATATGAGTTAGAGGCAAATATCAAAAGAAATGATTATAAGTGGAAAAACAAATATCCTCTAGGAAGAAATATAGGGGGTGAAGAGGAGTGAAGTAAGAGAGAGTGTATTTTTCACCATGTGGTTTTATTTAAGCTTTTTAAATTATGTATATATATTCAGCATATAATAAAGAATTTGTCTGGTTTTCCTCCAGTGTTCCTGGCACGGAGTTTCTAAAACCCTTGGAAAGTCCTGGGTGATAGAAATGTCTTTTGCTATTCATGAGCCCCTTGGATCACATCTAAGATTATGTTAATGAGGTAACAACAGTGGGCTCCTAGATAGCTTCATGATGGGGGCTGGGCACTAGAAAGACCAACTCTGATTAGAAGATTCAAAGGACTACAAAGCAGCCTCACCTCCAAGGGAGGGAGGGGAGGCTGGAGATTAAGTTCAATCACCTAACCAATGATTTAATCAATCTCACCTACTTAATGAAACCTCAACTAAAACTGGACACCAGAACTCGATGGAGCTTCCTACCTGGTGAACATATCAATATGCCAGGAGAGTGACATACCCTATGTCTCCTAGGGAAAGGGCATGAAGGCTTTACATTTGAGACCCTCCTGACGTCACATTGAGTCTCTTCATCTGGATGATTCATGATTCTAACCTGTATCCTTTATTATAAAACTGCTCTCGTAAGTATAGTCCTTTCTGAGTTCTCTTGAGTTATTCCAGTGAATTAGTAAACCTGAGGGTGTTCACGGGAACCTATGAATTCAGAGCCACTTGGTAAAAAGTCCAAGCAGCTTGGAGACCCCACCTGAGGTTGGCATGCATCTGAAGTAGGAGCAGTCTTCTCGGGGACCATGCCTCCAAACTTATGGAGTTAGTGTCCAAACTGCTGAGTTAGTGTCGGAACTAAACTGCAGACTTTATCAGTTGGTGTTGAAACAAAATAGTACTACTTTCACTTAAAATTTTCTTTTATTTTAAGACAATCAATAGACCCTTAAGAATTAAACAGAGAAGTAAAAGTCTGGGGTGCCTGGGTGGCTCAGTCGGTTAGGGACTTTTAGTTTCAGCTTGGGTCATGATCTCAGGGCCGTCAGATCCAGCCCCATATTGCGCTCCACGCTGGGCATGGAACCTGCTTGGGATTCTCTCTCTCCCTCTGCCCATCCCCGTGCATAGGCGCTCCCTCTCTCTCTCTCTAAAAAAATAAAAATAAAAAAATAAAAAGTCTGACAAATAAGGGCAAAACTGGAGAAAAAGGCATTGCAACATTCTACAAGAGTAATAAATTAGATAAAGAGACAAGATAATAAATACATCAAAGTAGGTAAGAACCAACAATGACTAATTTTTTCTAAAATAGGGGGGTGGCTTAGGACAGAGGTGGAGTAGGGAAGGACTGTAGGTGGAACCCAAAGGTCAGGCAATTACCATTACAAAGCTATACTAATTAAAACAATATTTTACCTAAGGGTAGACAAACTAATCAAAGGGGGAAAATGGTATCCAAGAACAGACCCTCGCGTGTATAACTACCTGAGCACTCCCAATGGCAAGTATATAAAAACGAACTTAAAAACTTTACTAAAAGATATATAAAATATACTAAAAGGTATATAAAAACTTTACTAATTAGAAAAATGCAAATTAAAACCACAATGCTCCTTTCATCACTGCTATTCAATACTGGAAGTTCTAGCTACAGCAATTAGGCAAGAAATAATATACATTCAAACAAAAAGAAATAAAGCTACCTCTATTCATAGCTGACATGATCTTTTATGTAGAAAATTCTAAAGAATACACACACAGGAAAAAAAAATCAGTTAATAAACAAATGCAGCAAAACTACAAAATACAAAAGTCAAGAAGTATAAGCAATATTTCTATAGTGAGCAATATACAATATAAAACAATTTTTTCTCAAAAAGAAAATTAAGAAAACCATTCTATTTGCAATAGCATCAAAAAGAATAAAATACACAGGAATAGATTTAACCAAGGACGCAAAGACTTACACTGAAAACTATACATTACTGGTGAAAGAAATTAAAGACCTGAATGGAAAGATATCCCATGTCCATGGACTGGAACATATAATATTGTTAAGGTAACAACACTACCCAAAGCAACATACAGATGCAATGTAATCCTTATCAAAAATAAAACAATGATCCTTTTTGCAGAAAAAGTGATACTAAAATTCAAATGGCATCTTAAGGGATCTCAAATGGCCAAACAATCTTGAAAAACAAGAACAAAGTTGGGAGACTCCCACTTCTCGAACCCAAAACCTACTACAAAAGTTAAAGTAATCAAACCACTGGTACCAGATTAAGAACAGACATATACACATAGACCAGAACAGAACAGAGAGCCCAGGAATGAACCCTGACATATATGGTCAACTGATTTTTGACAAGAGTGCCAAGACCATTTATATGAAAAAGTCTTTTTAACAAACGGTGCTGGGAAAATTGAGTATACATATGCAGAACAATAAAATTGGCCCTTATAACACTCATAAACATAGTCAAAATGGGAGCACCTAGCTGGCTCAGTTAGAGGAGCATGCAACTCTTGATCTCAGGGTCCTGAGTTCAAGCCCGAGGCTGGGTGTAGAGATTACTTAAGTAAATAGGAACTTTAAAAAAATATGCAAAATGGATCAAAGGCCTAAATTTAAGAGCTAATTCTCAGTAACTCTTAGTAGAAAACACATGGGAAAATCTTTATAACCTTGGATTTGGTACTGGTTCTTTAAACAGGACACAAAAATAAATAAATAAACAAACAAACAAACAGGACACCAAGAGAACAGGAAAAAAAACAGAAAAATTATACTTCATCAAAATTAAAAACTTGCTTTTGTACAACAAAAGACACTATCAGAGTCAACTCACACAAAAAAGAAAAAAATTTGCAAATCATTTACTTAATGGATTAACATCTATTACAAATAACTGTCACAATAGAATAATAGAATAGAATTTTAGAGATGTTTACAAAAAACTGTAAAATGTACTTAATGTCATTCAACTGTACACTTAAAAATGGTTAAAATGGTAAACTTCATGTTATGTATATTTTACCGCAACTTTAAAAAACCCACAATAGGGATGCTTGGGTGGCTCAGTCAGTTAAGCATTTGACTTCGGCTCAGGTCATGATCTTAGAGCTCTGGGACTGAGTCCAACATCCAGCTCCTTGCTCATCGAGGAGCGTGCTTCTCCCTCAGCCTGCCTCTCCCCCTGCTTGTACTCTTGGCTCTCTCTGACAAATAAATAAATAAAATCTTTAAGGGGGGGGGGCTCCTGGATGGCTCAGATGGTTAAGCGTCTACCTTTGGCTCAAGTCATGATCCCGGGATAAAGTCCCACATCCGGCTCCCTGCTCAGTAGGGAGTCTGCTTCTCCCTCCTCTGCCCTTCACCCTGCTTGTGCTCTCACTCACTCGCTCTCTCAAATAAATAAATAAAATCTTAAAAAAAAAGTTTAAAATAAAAACTTAAAAAATTTAAAAACCCACAATACTTTGCCACTACACATTTAGGAGAATAGCTAAAATGAAAAAGAAAAAATACACTAAACCTGGTAGGGATGTTGAGCAACCTCAATTCTTACTGATTGTGGAAGAATAAATTGATAAGACCATGTGAGGACTTATACTAATGCTAACCATATGGGGCACCTAGGTGGCTCAGTTGGTTAAGTCTGCCTTAGGCTCAGGTCACGATCCTAGGGTCCTGGGATCAAGCCACACGTAGAGCTCCCCACTCAGTGGGGAGTCGGCTTATCCCTCTGCCCCTCCCCCACTCATGCTCACTCTCTCTCTCAAATAAGTAAAATCTTAAAAAAAAAACACATATGTATACCCTATGATTAAGCAATTCCACTTCCAAATATATGCTCCAAAGAAAGCACTCATATGTAAACCAAAACTAGAATATTCATAACTGCACTATTTATAATGGTCACTGAATTATAATGCAAACTATCCAAATGCCCATTACCATTAAAATAACTAAATTGAGGTATTATCTAAAAAGTGAACACTGTAGATCAATGAGAATAAAGCAATCTACAACAATATGAACAACATAGATGAATCTTACAATGTAAAGCTAAAAATGGCAGACACAGAAGAATAAATACTGTATTATTCCTTTTACATTAATGGAGGCAAAATATGTGTAACATTAGAAGATAATGTTCATCCTCTTGGGGAGGAAGGAAGGACAACTGAAAGAAGTCTTTAGAGGGGCTCCTGGTGTGCTGATGTATTTTTTTTGTGATATTAATGCTGGTTATATGATTATGTTCAAGTTGTGTAAATTCATCTAGCTGTACTGTATGTATGATATGTATCACATTTCAATTTAGTAAGTCACACAAAAATAGAGAGAAAATGAATGTTGAAACAGAGAAAAGGTAAAGAAAAAAAGTGTTAAAAAGTTAAATTTGGTGGCACTATGCAGGAGAGACTAAAGAGAGAAATATAACAGATTCGCACTGCATGGTATCTGCCCTCAGCAGCTCATTCCTGCTGGGTGTTCAAAAGACAGTGCAATAGAAACTCAGTATCTGGTTGGTTCTCTTGGCTTCATGCATAGATTTAGCTTAAATGTAAGTAATTTCTAGTCATGGGGTGCCTGGTGGCTCAGTCGGTTAAGCGTCTGCCTTTGGCTCAGGTCATGATCCCAGCATCCTGGGATCGAGCCCTACTCGCTTCTCCCTCTCCTCCCCGCTTGCACTCTCTCACTGTCTCTCCTCTCTCTCTCAAATAAATAATAAAATCTTAAAAAAAAAAAAAGGAAGGACTTTTATTTGCCAACTAATGTCAGAATACTGGTAATAAGGACATAAACAGGCTGATCAATCTGTTAAGTGGATCACACATGACCTTCAAGAGAACAAGTACAGTAATGTGACCAGGAAAGGCAGACTGCAGGGGATATTAAGAAAGAAATAAGTGAGAAAACTCAAGCAATGGGTGAGGATTACTCATTCAACAACACTAGCAGGGGGCGCCTGGGTGGCTCAGTAGTTAAGCTTCTGTCTTCGGCTTGGGTCGTGACCCCAGGGTCCTGGGATCAAGCCCCGCATCAGGCTCCCTGTTCAGTGGGAAGCCTGCTTCTCCCTCTCCCACTCCCCCCGCTTATGTCCCCTCTCTCGCTGTGTCTCTAGCAAATAAATAAAAAAAAAATCTTTGAAAAAAAAAGAACACTGGCCGTAAATAAGAGAAGGGAAGGCGGAGTAAATGCTAATGGAAAAAGACAACTAAGTCGTCTTAAAAAAAAAAAGAAAAGCAAAGAAAAAAAGAAATGGTAGAAGTAGAAAGAAACTGAAGATCCTGGAAAGAGAATAATGTAAAAGCACCATCTCTCACTAATAAGAAACTCTAATTTCCAAAGGATAAATAAAATACTCTCCCCTAAAACTATGCTGAAATATATCATTATCTTAGACAGAAACACACCGAATTAAATGACAAGTTAAAGATTTACTGCTAGGGCGCCTGGGTGGCTCAGTTGGTTAAGCGACTGCCTTCGGCTCAGGTCATGATCCTGGAGTCCTGGGATCGAGTCCCACATCGGGCTCCCTGCTCAGCGGGAAGTCTGCTTCTCCCTCTGACCCTTTCCCCTCTCATGCTCTCTCTCTATCTCATTCTCTCTCTCAAATAAATAAATAAAATCTTAAAAAAAAAAAAAAAGATTTACTGCTAATTACTCAAGGTAATGAAAAATCAAATCTGAGTGTTCACAAATGGTATTTCTAATATTCCAGAAGTTTCATTTCACTGACACTATTCAGGTTTTGGTTAAAGTACACAAATTCAAATATCTACTATCTATCTATGGAATATCACTCTAGGATTGAGGAATCAGTACCAGGTAAAACAAGATCCTTAACTCTCACAAAGCTTATAAGCTAGTAAGAAGGGCAGAGTATATACTAGCCAACCCAATAAGATGATAGTTGATGAATGCTATAAAAAAACCCTAAAAGACCAAAACAGAGAAATTCACTAAAAATAAGATAATCGATCTAAAAAAATAAGTATGAGACTAGACCTGAATGATGAGGGGGTACCAACAGTATAAAAATATGCAGAAACACTTAAGGCATTAAAAGCAGAGGGAATGGACACCTGGGTGGCTCAGTGGGTTAAGGTCTGCCTTCAGCTCAGATCATGATCCCAGGATAGAGCCCCACAGCAGGCTCCCTGCTCAGCGGGGAGCCTGCTTCTCCCTCTCCTGCTCCCCCTGCTTGTGCTCTCTCTGTCAAACAAATAAATAAAATCTTTAAATTAAAAAAAAAAGCAAAGGCAATTTGAAGAGAAAGGGGGTGAACTGAGGTGGCTGAAATGTAGCACACTCAGAAAAGTATGGTACAAGATTAAGTCCAAAGAGATAAAAGGCAAGGAGCCTTTAAAGTATAATAGTAAGCCACTGGGGGCGCCTGGGTGGCTGAGCCATTAAGCATCTGCCTTCAGCTCAGGTCATGATCCTTGGGTCCTGGGATCAAGCCCCGCCAATGGGCTCCCTCCTCAGGGGGAAGCCTGCTTCTCCCTCTCTCACTCCCCCTGCTTGTGTTCCCTCTCTCACTGTGTCTCTGTCAAATAAATAAAATCTTTAAAAAAAAAAAAAAAAACAGTAAGCCACTGAAGAATGACATAATCTAATTCACATTTTTCAAAGAACACTCATTCGGCTAAGTAGAGCATGGATTGCGGGGGGGGGGGAAGAGAAGCAACTGGGAAACCAGTTAGATGGTATGCAGTGGGGATGATGTTTTGGACCACCATGTTAGCAAAAGAGATAGTACAGAAGTCATTATGCTCATATACTAAGGGTGGAGATGTAAGTGGTTTTAAACTTGTTATCGAATTTGGCAATTAATCAAATTTTAAAACCTGTGTACCCTTTGATTCAGGCAGTTCCATTCCTATGAAATCTTTGTATTTGGAAAAGTGTCCAAGAACACGTGCATGAGAAATTTTACTGCTACATTTGTTATAGTCAAACGAACAATCTCAAGGTCCATCAAGAGGCCTGATTAAGTTCATTTTATGGATACCAAACGGCCCTTTGAAAATGCTTAACGTATGATGTTCACTGTTGCGATTAAAAAAGGATTCTAGGGATGCCTGGGTGGCTCAGTTGGTTAAGTGCCTGTCTTCAGCTCAGGTCATGATCCCAGGGTCCTGGGATGGAGTCCTGGTCAGGCTCCTTGCTCAACGGGGAGCCTCCTCTTCCCTCTGCCTGCCACTCCCCCTACTCGTGCTCTCTTGCTCTCTTTCTCTCTCTGGCATAGATAGATAGATAGATAGATAGATAGATAGATAGATAGATAGATAGATAAAATCTTTTTAAGGGGCACCTGGGTGGCTCAGTTATTAAGCGTCTGCCTTCAACTCAGGTCATGATCCCAGGGTCCTGCAATCAAGCCCCGAATCGGGCAGGGAGCCTGCTTCTCCCTCTCCCACTCCCCCTGCTTGTGTTCCCTCTCTCGCTGTGTCTCTCTCTGTCAAATAAATAAATAAAAATCTTAAAAAAAAATAAAATAAATAAAAAGGGATTCTGGACTACAGAACACTATCTCACAAAACCATTTCATAGAGCACCTGGGTGGTCCAGTTGGTTAGGTGACTGCCTTTGGCTCAGGTCATGATCCTGGAGTCCCGCATCGGGCTCCCTGCTCAGCGGGGAGTCTGCTTCTCCCTCTGACCCTCCCCCCTCTCATGCTCTATCTCATTCTCTCTCTCAAATAAATAAATAAAAAATCTTTATTAAAAAAAAAACATTTCATATATTTCTAATTTTGATATTTGTGACTTAATCTTTTCTTTCCTATTAAGTCAGAATGGTTCTTCTCTCTAATAATGTCATTCTCACTTGCATTCTGATGTGGGGGAAAAAAGGTAATGAATGACTTCGGCTCAGGTCATGATCCCAGGATCCTACCTTTTCCCATTTCTTGGGGAAAAATATACGTGCCAGTGACTCCAGGTACACCCATGTCAGTGTTCAATTAGCCAATCAAATGTAAAAACAAATAAAAACTATGCCATACTTGGAAAAGTTGAAGGATCTGTGAGTGTTTAAGGTTGGAATTATGTAGAAAGTAGTATCATTAAGGCAAGAGTTATTTTGGCTGGGGCCTAGAAAAACACCTGAAAACAACAAAAGATGGTCAGTCACGTTTAGTTAATGCCTAAATAAAGGAGAACTGAACTCTCGGCGGGATATAAAGAATTTTTTGTCCAAATGTTTAAAGGACCGTCACGTCAAACAGAGTATGGGTTGATTCTGCCCTCTACAACTACAATCACCTTAAGAAGAAAAAGTAAAAGTGGGGGCAAACTTACAAAAAAGGGAGCACAATGATAAAAAGATACAAATTTCAACTTACACAAAATAAGCAGTGATCCATTAATGGAATTAGCTGCCTCAAAAATCTGTGAAACCAAAACAGATAAAAACAAAAAAGACTATGTGTTGACAAAGATGTGGAAGAGGACTCCTGTACATTGTTGGTAGAAGTATAAATTAGTATAATCATTTTGAAAAATTCTGGCACTATCTATCTACTAAAACTAAAATACAGCAATTCTATGCCCCAGCAATGTAATCATATTTCAGTGGACTGAGCAGAAAAGAGCCAAGGAATTAAAATATATATGTATGATTTTTAAAAAACTTTTAAATCAACAAATAGGAGATTGGCAAACTTTTTCTGTAGGGAGGAAGATAGTAAATATTTTAAGGCTATGCAGGCCTCACATATAGTCCCTTTTAAATATTCTTATGTACATACAAAACAGGCTGTAGGCCAGATATAGCCAACACCTGCCTAAAAATAATCTGAGCTCCTAAAACAAGCATTTGGAGACAAAGTTTGCATATAGCTAAATACCATTTTCACAACTGAAAATAATGCTATTTCTTGGAGGATGCACTTCAAGTTGTTCCTTTTTTTTTTTCCTTTTAGTGACAGATTATGCATTTGTAAATCTGAACCATTTTCTTGATCCATTAAGATCAAAAAACTCAACCACATTAACACCAAAAAACTGCTTTCTGTAACAAAGAAATACACCTGACCCTTTCAGCTAACAAACTCCTTCTCACCCTGGCCTCCAAGGTAATTTTAAAAATAAATTCTCTGGGGCGCCTGGGTGGCTAAGTCAGCTAAATGTCCAACACGACACCCTTGATTTTCGCTCAGGTCATGATCTCAAGGTCCTGGGATCGAGAGCTCCGTGTAAGCCCCCCCCCCTTAGCAGGTAGTCTGCTTGAGGATTGAGGATTCTCTCCTTCTCCCTCTGCCCATCCCCCCAACTTAGGCTCACAAGTACCCATGCACTCTCGCAGTCTCTCTAAAATAAATAAATAAACGTAATATGGGGCACCCGGGTGGCTCAGTCGTTAAACCGTCTGCCTTCAGCTGGGGTCATGATCCCAGTGTCCTGGGATCGAGCCCCGCGTTGGGCTCCCTGCTCCTCAGGGAGCCTGCTTTTCTCCTCTCCCACTCCCCCTGCTTGTGTTCCCTCTCTCACTGTGCCTTTCTCTGTCAAATAAATAAATAAAATCTTTTAAAAATAATAATAATAGTAAACAAATAAAAGTAATAAAAATAAATTCTCCATTATCTAAGGATAGA